CGTCCTTCCAGATGAAGCCAGGGTTGTGAGGGAAGCCCGGGTCCCAGGTGCCAGAGGGAGGCTGGTGCAGGCAGCGGGAGAAGGAAGGCCTACTCTTGCATGACATTTGTGCATTGGGTCTCTAATAATTAATAAATAATAATACAAGAATAAACTGTGTTTTGTGTACTCACAACTGTAAACCTACTTTTGTCCCACTTTGCATTTGTGCCTGTCTCTCATCCTGTGCCTTAAAAGATGAGAAGAATTTGCCACAAATTATTAATCAATGAGAGGAAAGATGCATAGCCATATTACCAGTAAAACTGCATGTCCCAGTACACCATTCACAATCACTTAAAATTGAACTAAACTTATGCTTGATTTTGAAAGGGTTTATAAATCATATATATAAATATCTATTTGACCTTCTAGGTCATTGGTTTTCAAACATGGCCTTCTATTAGCTACTAAAATAAAATTTTATTTTATTAAAAAGGTTTTTTTTGTTTGTTTTTAAAAAAGGATTCTTGCCAAAACCGGTTTGGCTCAGTGGATAGAGCGTTGGCCTGTGGACTTAAAGATCCCAGGTTTGATTCCAGTCAAGGGCATATATCTTGGTTGTGGGCACATCCCCAGTAGGGGATGTGCAAGAGGCATCTGATTGATGATGATTCTCTCTCATCAATGTTTCTAACTCTCTATCCCTCTCTCTTCCTCTTTGTAAAAATTCAATAAAAATATATTTAATAATAATAAAAAACAGATTTTTGAGCATCACCTCAGACTTAAATGAATCAGAATCACTAGAGGTAAGACCTGTTACTCCCCCTCCCCACACCTCACACATACCCAACTATTCCATCTATTAAGGACTTTATAAGGTTCCAACATAGCAAATATAATCATTGATATTTGACATTATAGGACTTATTACAACTAGATCCATTAGTGAGTATATTTGTGTGTGTGTGTGTGTGTGTGTGTGTGTGATTGAATCACCTTACACCTTATATACCCAGTTCAATGCTTTATAGTCTAGGCTGAACATTATAATTACCCGGAGAGCTTTATAAATCTTGTTGCTCAAGCTTCTTCTCTGAGCAATTAAATCAGAATCACAAAGCATGATACCAATTATTTGTAATTTTTAAAGCACCCCAATTGATAGCAGCATGCAGTTAAATTTGAGACTGTCAGTATATAGATAATACCTTATATTTTTCTGCATCCTTTCTAACACATAGTTACATAGCTCAAAACCCAGATCACTGCCTGGGAGATATGTAGGCCAACCTTAAATGATCCACTTTGATGGAACACAAAAGTGAGATGACTATTTGTGGTCACATTACAGTAACTCTTTTTTGTTTTAACTCCATGATTGCTATGCCTATATCTCAAAAACAAAAGATAAAAGAAAACAAACATACCCAAATCTGTGCAATGTACATGTCATTATTCAAATATGTCGAGATAAGAACATACAGGCCATTGATTCAGAAGGAGCTACCTAAACAAGTAACATGTGGAACCAAGTCTGAGTGACACTAGAGCTTATGATGTCTGCGCTATACCAGTGATTCCCAAAGTGTGGTCATGAGACCAGCAGCATCAGCAGGTCTGAGAATTTACAAAAAGGGTACATTCTCTGGCTCAGTCTCAGACTATTAAATCATAATCTTTTGGGCTAGGACCCATTTGTGTTTATCAAGTCCACCAGTTGATTCAGAGTCACACTAATGGTTAAGAAAAATGGTATTATAGTCTCCATTTCTATCAGCTGCCTACTTTTGGAGGCCCAGTTCAACCTGTGGTAAGAGAAATAAAAATATGGGGGTGACTCAGTGCATGATATGGGATGAGGGGCTGAGAAATCCTCCATTACTATTTTTCTTTTCCCCATTTATATATTCTATATAATAAAAGGGTAATATGCAAATTGACCAAATGGCAGAATGACCAGAATGCCCACACCCCTTGCTCTGGCTGACTCCCCCCAAACAGGACCCCCAATCCAGGGCAGGGCCCACTGGCAAACTGCCCATGGCCTCTTGCCCCAGCTGGCCCCACCCCCAATGGCCTCCATTGGGGCGGGCTGACTGGACCTCACTAGTGCACGAATTCGTGCACCAGGCCTCTAGTATATATATAATTAATTTTAGAGAGTAAGGTAGAGGGAGAGAGATATATAAACATCATTGATGAGAGAGCATCACTGATTGGCACACCCCCACAGGGGACTCAGCCTGCCACCCAGGCATTGTGCTGTGACTGGTAATCAAACAATGAACTCCTGGTTCATAGGTAGACACTCAACCACTGAGCCATGCTAGTCAGGCCTAGACCTCATTTATATTAATAATCTATGTTAGAGTTGAGGGAATGCTGTATGAGATGCAGTGCTGGTAAAAGACTGGGTGACTCTGGGGACCTTTACCCAAGGTGCCTTGCTGTGATAAGCCACTTCCGTGTGACTATTTTGAGATGTTGATGACTAGTTTATCCTTTTAATCAAAATGTGGAGAGTTTTAAAAGGTTTCATTAAAAGTGAATACCTTAATTGGTTCCAGAAAAATTATTTTTTTATCTTAAGGGCTTGAGATAATTAGTGTTCAGGAAACCAAGGGTAGGTAGTTTGCTTTCTGTGATGGCAAGCTGGTTCTGATGCTGCCATCCTGAAAGATATGAGTGCTGCTGATCTACTTTATTGCCTTTCTCTCTATATTTTAGGGCTATTTTAAAATTTAGTTGTACATTTGACTAAGGGAAAATAAACACACATTAAAAGAACACTCTTGTTGGATTTATCAGAGACACCAGTTAATATTTTTTGAGCAAAATGTGAAATCATTTGTTTTAATGATGTAAAATATGCTTTAGGCATATAAAGGCTGGATGGAAATTTTTTCATGGGGTGGGGGAGGGCAGAAAACAAAGAAGAAAGAGAACAGAAAAAAAAGAGAAAAAAGAGGAGAAAGGGTAAAAGAAAGAAGACAAGAATTGACAAGAGGAAGAAACAATGGAAGGGAAAAAAAGGATAGAATGAATAAATGAAAAAAGATAAAAGATATGAAGGGTAGGAAAGGGGGGGAAAGTTAGGGTAAGAGGTTGGAAGGGAAGAAAAGGAAAAACAGAGTGCAAGTAGGCAAAGAAAACATTAAAGAAATAAAATAATACAGCCTTTGGAGCCTGAGAAATATTTTGTGAAGTGTGATTTGGATAAGACTTATGCAGACTTGGCTCCTGAGGTCAATCATGATTCCAGTTTGCAACAAATGGGGTGAAAGGCATCAGACCCCACATGGAGAGACCTACAGTGACAGCAGTGGAGTAATAATGTAGCAGCCATCAAGAATACAGGGATGCTGGGAAGTTGGATTACATTGTTCTTTATTCAGCAACCACATTTTTATCTGATACACAATCCAATGTTAAAAAGAAATGTTTTCTTATTATAAGATCTTTGAACTAGAGCAGAGATGCTTAGATATTTGCAGGAATGCATTTGAAGTTCTAATCTATAATAATAAAAGAGTAATTTGCAAATTGACTGAATGGCCGAAAACCTGAACAATCATCCTGATATCCTCTGGACAATCTTCCTGATGAAACCAGAATTGTAGCTGTGGGATCTAGTCAGCCGCAGTGGCTGTGAGAGAGGGATCGAGGCAGCCACAGCGGCTGCAAAGGCCTACTCTTGTGCAAATTTCATGCATCAGGCCTACACTATTTTATATTATATTAGTTTGTCCTTAGGATTTACTTAGGGCCAGGACTTGGTCTTTCTCACCTCCTTTCTTTCTCCATCCTTGCCACTCACTCAGTGATTTGCTGTGGCCAGTGGTCAGTGCAGCTGTTTCATTGTAAGTCTTGCTCTCTTTGAAGTCTACATTCTAGCACCATAGGCAGAACTCTAAAGCCCCTTTCTCTTCATACAAGTTTATGTATGTGTCATCTAGATACATTACACACCAAGATCCCTGTTAATTAGAGTCCTCTATCTGTGCAGTGAACAGATTTATTATAGCTCCTCCCTCCCCACCCAGTGTACCCCACAAAGGCCTGCATGTTAGTTAGCAGAGAACCATGTTTTTGAAGAATAAGGCAGAAAAAAATTTAGAACATCCAAGCAAGGAGAGTGGTAAGGAGCAGACTTGGGATAGAGACAGATGTCCTGGAGTCAGAGGGATGCTGGATGGTCGTTTGTAATATGCATGAAGGAACCTAAAAATATTTTCTGAAAGCTTAATTAGAGTTATCATAGTTATTCCTGGATCACAGAGACTGGATGCAGGGGCTATCTACAGACACTTGTGGGCCAGTCAGTGGCAGCATGGTCTTTTAGGAGCTACTGAATTTATGGTGATCTTTCCCCAATGCAAGGGAGGGATTTCCTTAATGGGCTCGATTTATAGCCAATTTTCAAGTCAAACACCAGACTATCATTTAAAAATGAAGAGATAATTGGGGCTTATTGAAATTATGTTATTACTAGAGGACTGATGCACAAAATTCATGCAAGAGTAGGCCTTCCTTCCCCCGGCTGTGGGCACCAGCTTCTCTGTGGGACCCAGGACACAGGCTTCTCTCCAGCTGCCAGCAGGAACCTGGGACCCTGGCTTTTCTCTGACCACTGGCAGGAACCTGGGACATGGGCTTCCCTTGCCACCCTGGCTTCAACTGGAAGGTCATCTGGAAGGACGTCTGGTCTAATTAGCTTATTACACTTTTATTATTATAGATGGCTGGAAAGGAAAAAAAAATACTAAGAATTGAATTGAGTAAGCATTTCTCCTTTGCTCATTCTTGCTTTATGTGTACCCACAATGTATGAGTGTTGGTGTGCCCAAGTGAGTCATAGTCCAAATGGCCACAACAATAGTCACATCTAGGAAAGACTGGTATGAAATGTGCAGATGGGGGGCACTTCCAGAACCGTATATTGCCCTCTTGTCCTCTCTCTTCTCTATGCTCCTCTGAGAACGGGGTGAAGGTAAAACAAAAAAGGAGGTTCTTACATTCTTAAATCCTCGGTAAAGAATCTGGAGCTCCTTCTTGGTGAACTTGCTCTGGGCTTCCAGCAGCTCAAGGGCCTCAGGCCGATGCCTGACGGTGGCCATCTCCAGCTCATCCTCCACGCTGTCTGTGGAGGGAAACCAAGCAGAGTCTTAGAACAGCCAGGACTCCCCAATGCTTATTCAGGAAAACAAAGGAGCATTTACTACCGTACATGCCTATTATTTTTCCAGAGTGATGGTTCTTACACTGCCAATCAATATGCATATTTCCCAGAGTTTAGACTACAAAGCCGAGCTAATATTACATAATATGTTTTCATAGTTTCTAGTTATTAGACATTACATACTAACATTTCCCAGTACAGTCTGAAAAGTGGAAAAAAAAGGAAAACTTAAAACATTGGATTTGTGAATATATAACAAGTACTAGTTATAAAAGTAGGATTTTAGTTTAATAACAAATGACATCGCCTTTGTATCTGAGTTAGGCCTTTGCTAATACTCCACAAGGATTCTTCTAAAATAAAGTATTTCTCCAGGGGCTGCAAATAAAGTAGTCAGATCAAGTGAGAAAAATCAGCAGCCAGTATGTCTGGCATAAATCCAGTCTCCATGGGTACAGGCTGGATGGACCAGCACCTATGGGAACTTCTGGCCAAATCCTATTTTACAAACAAGGAAATCCACAGCTACAGATAAATTATAGAATATTGCACTTTACTTTGTGAATTATATATTTACTACATTTCTCTAAGGTGCTCTATGCAAACTAATTTTCAGTCATATAAATTTGGGAAATGTAAACATTTTAAGAGTTTGGGAGCAAAACACAGGACTATGTGGCTTAGAGAGAACTTGCAGCAAAGAATTCTGTTTAGTTTTGTTTAACCCAATTACCCGCAAAAGGTATTTGTCCATAGAACACTTCTTCCGCTCAAGTAACATCTGGTAACATCTGCATATTTGCATTAGGTTCATTGGGAGGTGTTGGGATATGGTAGGATCTGGGTATTTGCATCTCAAAAAGTACAACATCCTTAATGAGGTCCAGCTCTTTGCAGTGGGGCCCAATGGAGGCCTAAGGAATTCTTCTGCCATAGTTCAGCTCAAACCTCTGCTAAGAAACTCATCAGAGAAAGAAACATATAGGCCCAGAGCTGAGGCCATGCCTTCCCTCCATCATATTCCTTCCTCTTGGCTACAGATTCCCAACTTCAAGGGCTGAAGCTCAGGAGAATAGCTTCTTCTCATCAACTCTGGACTCAGGGCCACCACTACCCCAAATTCCACTTTGCATGTGTCATTTGGAAATGTAGTCCTTGTTGATTACAGAAGTCACATCATTTTTTATACTTAGTAACGCTGGTTCTATCAGAGGGAGAAGGGGTGGAGGGAGCTAGAAGAGGGTAGAGGAAGAAGACTTGACTTGGGGTGGTGGTGAACACACAGCACAAATTAACAGATGATGTATCATAGAATTGTGCACCTGAAACATATGTAATTGTATTAACCAATGTCACCCCAATAAAATTAGCCAAAAACATTATAATTCTGCCTTTCACTAACATGTGTACCCACTTACTGACCTGTCTCACTGAAGTAGAGCTCTGGGCCAGAACTCTCACTTAGCAGAAACATGAAGGTCAGGGGAAGTCTGATCGCCACATGTCTGCCTCACTGCCCTCATGGGGTTTACAAAAGACCAATAATGGCAATGAAACAAATACTCGGAATGGTTATGCTTGTCAACATGAAAAAGAGGATGTGAAAGCAAATATTTGCTTTGTACTTTTCATATCGAAGTAATTTATTTTACAACAGTGATCTGGAAAAGCTGCAGAATAGTGATTGATGGGTAAGAATAAGAAGAGGGACATGAAAAAATGGCAAGACCAAGAGTCACTCTGAGCTGACAAGGATAAAATCGATGAGAATTCTGATGGTTTGCCTCTAACGGATGTGAAAAGAAAGTAGCCAATGAAAGGCAGCTAGGCATAACAGTTTGACCTCAGGCTGGGCTTTATGAGGCAAGAAAAAAAAATGTCAGAATGGGCTCCTCCAATTTTCCCTGTTGTTCATTGATGCAAACAAGTTGATTCTACTCCATGGGTGCTGAGCAGAGAGAATGAAGGAAGATGGTGTTCCCTACCACTGCTGTGAATCCAATGACTTGAGCTGCCTGGTAGTTATTGTCGCTGCCAATAGAGAAATAAGTTTCACAGAACAGATCTAATGTAAACAAACAATAACAAATAGAAAGACTCTGCCTTCTCAAAAAATGTCCTGGTATAAGCTCCTTATGAACCATGTAGAGTGTCATTTCCTCAGCTTAAAAATATTCCTCAGTCCTTTTCTCACCTGGTGAAATGTGTGTATCTTTTTGACCAGTTCTAATATTACTGCCTCTCTAAAGCCTTCCCGATTGCTCCAGCATGTAGACTGGTGATACCCTGGTCAGAGGTCTACACCCTACCCACCTCTCTCCCAGCATGTAAAGCAAAACATTGTGATCAGTTTGTGTCTGTCTTCTCTATTGTGAGTTCTTTGAAGATGGTATCTTACAGATCTGAATGTCCTCTGGACTTGATACAGAGTCTCATATCCCATCGTGGCTCAAGAATTATTTAGTGAACCAATAAACAAATGATGTTGCTGCTAGAGTTTCCATTCTTCTGGAATCCCTGGGACCTTAGCTGCCTTCCAGAAAATGATTTCTCAAACTGAGGTTTGTGGTCCACTGGTGGCCCTTAAATGCTTTCTTTGGAATCACTGTCTTGACTGTGCATTGTTCTGAGAAACACAGCAAGGCAGAAGTCCAGGAAGTTTTAATCAGATTTTCTGAGTAGCCTTTGAATCACAGCATAACCTTCTCTAGACCTAATGGGCCTTCTACTAGAAAGAAACAAAACAGCGCATTAACTTTTTGGCCTTTGTAACCACACAGCAGTCTGAACCACACACCCAACACAGTTGCTTCCCCAGCTGTCACAGACTTGCTGATGCCAAGACTGAGATGACAGACCCAGCGCCAGAGGTTAGCGCAACTGAGTTAAATGTGTGTGATGGGATGAGCAGCACATGCAATATTCAAAGCAGCACACTTGAAGTGCCTGCCTCAGGCTTGCTTGTTTTCCCGGCTCACTGGTACCTTACTTTGTAATGACTCCTGCCTGCCAAAGGGCTGTTTCTATTTCCAGGAGGCTGGCGTGCTCTAAACACACACCTGGAATCACCAGCAATCACCAGCTTATGGTAAATTAAAAATGCAACAGCATCTAACCCAATCCAAACTCTGATTCCTGGAGGCAAACTCTGTGGAGAGCACAGTGCGATTCTGTAGAGAAATACATGATGTTACTCAGTCACCACCGAAGAGCATGCATTTGGGGGTGGGGAGGATTTTAATATAGTGCTTAGCATTTACTGAGCTCCAATTATATGTCAAAAGGTGGGCTCTGTTGATATTATGGGAGTCTTTGCAGTAACTCCAAAATGAGCTATAATTGTCCATTCTTTACACATGTAAGTACTGAGTCTCATAGAAGTAGGGGGGGGGGCGGGAATGAGTGGCGAGATGTAACACAGGAGAAAAAAAAGAGAGAAAAAATCTATATCCAAGTCTTTAAGGACAAAACATGTTTTTCCTACTTTGCCACTTGCTCTCTTAACGATGATAAAATTAATGACAACCTCTCTCTTCTCCTGCATTGTCAAATGTCTCAGAGAGCTTGACTTTCTCCACTGGGTTCATTTCCTACTTCTTGCTTTCTCCTTAATCCATTGCTGTCTGATTAATGGGCCTTTTGTGCATTGAATTGTGTAATTTGTATGTTGAAGGTCTCACCCCCCAATAAGACTATATTTGAAGATATGCCCTTTAAGGAGGTAAAGTTAAATGAGGGTATAGCATCCTAATCCAATGCAACTTGTGTCTTTATAAAGATGAGAGAAAGAGAAAGAGAGGTACCTGGGATACACATGCATAGGGAAAAGCCATGTAGACACAGTAAGAAGACAGCCATCTGCAAGCTACTGGGAGAGGTATCAGGAAAAGAAATCAAGGACTCCTTAATTTTGGACTTCATATCATCAGAACCATAATAAAATAACTTTCTCTTGTTTAAGCCACCAGTCTATGGCATTTTGTTATGGCAGTCTGAGCAAACCCGGAACTGTATTCAAATGACACACACTAAGTATAAAAGCAGGTCTTGTTATTCACCAAGTTTGCCCAGTGAGTGCTGGATAGTTTGTTAATCATATTATTTGTTCTTTACCTTGACCATCAAAGAAGTGATTGTCATCCCCAATCTACAGATGAGAAAACTGAGGCTTGGGGATTCTAAGTGGCTTGCTCAAGGTCAGGTGGCTGGTTAGCAATGAAACAGACAAGAATCTTTAGGAACCTGAAGTCCAACTTTCTAAGCACTTTGCTGAGATTGTTAATAAAAACCACCATCCTATGGAGAGCTTTTGCTCCAAGCCTGGCTGTATGTTATCTCATTCTGATACTGACAAAAATTCTATGATTTGTTATTGCCCTTATTTTACAAAGAATCAACTGGGACTCAATGAACTTGAACAACTTACTCAAGGTCACACAGCGAATAAGTGACAGAACTGGGATTTAATCCCTGTTTTGTTTTGTTTTGACACCAAAGATTGTGAGTTTAGTCAACATGCTATTTGAGATAGTAACAGTTATATATTTTTGTCTAAATGCTTAGGGAATAAAAGAATTGAAACCACAAACCAGGTGGCTACTGAACTCCATCTCCTCAGGGGAAACATGCCCAGCCACTTTGAGGGGTCACTATGATGGTGGTTGATGATGTGCTGACCAGAAAAAAGTAGAATAAGGTGTGGAAGTGATGAAATCTCAGAACTGGAAAGCACATGAAAGATTGTTTGCTCTTCCTCATTTTATCTCTAAGAAATGTTAAGTTCCAGGAGGCTCAGGGGTTTGTCTGGAATGAAAACCAGCAGCATGCGGGGACTCTGACTTCTTGAATCATCACCAGGCCTCGGTTAACACATACCAAGATGTGTTGCTAATTCCAGTGCTGCCTTCGCATCCTGAGATAATCTGAATACAAATAGTAATTTAATTCAGGCATCTTCTAAG